TGGATCTGCTCCTACACTAGTAGAGTACGTGCAGCCGTGGTCCACAAGGCCATGTCATCCGACTTGTGGGTCTTCCCATAAGTCTGGAAACTTGGCAGCAGGGGAACAGTGGCAATGTTAATTGCCTCTCCCTTGCTGTCAAATTTCTGGGGTCATGGGGAGCTCTGCAGTCTGCATGACATGATCCTTTGCACTAGATTGTGCTGTCATACAATGGGGCTGGGATGCAGGGTCACTGCAGCTGGATCATACCCATGGGCCATTACCATATGCTGACCCTGCACTAGATCAGGTCTGTGAACCAGCCTTGCATACAAAATCCAACCTGTGGACAGACCCTGTGCCACTAATTTGGCCCATAGTGCTGGAGCAGCCACATCCACTGCTCTACTGAAACTTTTTTACTGAAACTTTTTTTTTTTTTTATACCAGTTTCATTCTCGGTCTACTTGTTGCATTGTAAAGCATGCCTGAAAAAGAAGAATACTAAAAATCTATGATTTCTGTTTCCTCACCAGCATTAAATGTCTGGTAAACATCACCAAACAGGGCCCCAAACAGTTCACTTAGAATACCTCTGTTACCCCCTCTTTAAATCTGTTGCATATGATTAGTGTGGCCCTGTCCTCTGTGAAGTGGAGCCAGGCCAGATTGCCCTGTGCCTCATCTGCATATAATTTTTTGGAGGATTTCAGGACTCATGAAAAGAACACCTGGTTCCAGTCATGAGTGGGGGACTAATTAACACGTAGATTCTTTGTGGGGGGTATCTAGAGTACATACACATACTGAGCAGTGCTGAGCTGTGGGATCACTGTGGCTTGAAATGCTGTTGATTCTGCTAGGGCCCAACCCAGTGAACTGTGTGGTAAATCATGAGCCTCTTGGCTTCAGGCTAATATTATGCATAGTTTTTATTATATATAAGTAGATACAAAAGCGCTGCTTAAAATGTATTCATAAACTTTCTTTGCTAAAATGTGCAACAGTTTCAAAAGAGATAAATTGCATTAATTCTGGATGAACTAATTTTATGATGATGCAAATTAGTATAGGTATGTTTATTTAAAGACCAGTGTTTTCAAATTTGCTCCTCTCTTCCATGTGCTCAGGGAGTGCAGCATCAGACAGTAAGGAGGAGGGGAAAGGTGATGAAGTGGATGTGGGGTGGGGTTGGAGAGAGGAGGGTAAGGAGGCTACCTGGCTTCCTAGATTTATTTTCCCTGTTTGTAGTAGTGGGAAGGTGACAAATTCAAAGCAGATCTCCAATAAATAGATTCCATACCTGGAAAATGATAACAAATTTATACATTTGCCATATATAGAATCTAATTGTTGGAGGGTCATCTTATATTCAGGGTTGTCTTATATTTGAGTAAATACAGTTCGTATTCCCTCCTCTACCAGCATACACATACCTTTCTTAAAGTGCAAGAGTCAACTATGGCTATTTATTGGAGTGCCTGTTAGTACTAGCTGATTATAGCTGATTTTATGCTTTAGATTCCCATGGAAATTAGTCTCTTTGTCAAGTAAGAAGTGCAATGTCCAAGTCCAACAAGTTCTAATTTCTTAAATCCTTTAATTTCAAAAGCAGACAAAATTGTTGGGGCAGCTGCTGCTACTTAATTCAAAACAACATCATGCCAATAGGGATGAGTCCTGTGATGACGAATGGGGAAAAATAGAAATCGGAAAACAGAGGAGTTTGCTTTTAATTGAAATGTACATTCATAAGCAACTCATCCCCAGTTAAGAAAGTAAAGATTGATGAGCTATTGATAATAGTTTACTGAATTGATAGTAATAGTCTTATTTCTTTTCTTTACAGGTGGGAGCTTTATTTGCTTTGCCTTGCAGTGTGAGCAATGTACTGATTCCATCACCCACCCAGTTGAGTACAAAAAAATGGAAGGAATATATGTCCAAAAAACCTAAAGCTGTCACCAGTAAGTAAGAGATGTACTATATTTCCCTGAATTCAGGACAACTTTGAATTTAAAAATATGCCCGACATCTTACCGGATTTTGCTGTTGGGGTACAGGACAGTACCACCAGTGGGCCACAGGACAGTACCACTAATCGTCTGCCACACCTTGATGTTCTTTTAAATATTGGAAACTGGATGTGTGTGGGCTGGTGGGGATCCTGGCTGGTCCTCTGGGGGGTTTCTCTTTGTGGGACTCTACCTCCCCTCATACCCCCACCCTTACACTTCCTGGATGACACAGGTCAGGTGCTGGCTCTTGTATTGACCTCCCCATTGCCACTGGCAGTTGATCACTGGCTTACTCAATGAATGTCTAGGAGTTTAATTATGTTCATTTGGGCTCCCTGAAGCCATCTTTAACTCAGTTAATTCCTCATTGGTTCATAGGTCCATCAATCCAGATAAGTCCATATAAAGTCTGTAAGACAAATGACATTAAATCAGTTCATTCCAGGTTCCTGGGTTAACTGGTCTGGATCAGTCCATTAAGAATCCATCAGATAAATTGATTTTATTTTTGATTATTTATTTATCCCAGGTTCCTGGGGCAATCAACTGAAATCAGTCCCTTAAGGATGCATCATATAATCAAAATGAAATTAATTCTGCTGGGGTTCCTACCCTATCTTGACTCCTCAGGTTAGGACCAATGGGCATTTTCAAGGAGGGGAGCTCTCCTTTCTTCCGCTTTACCCAGCACAGTGAGAGGCAAGCACAATCCAAAAAAACAACCACAAGAAGAGAGCAAAGGGGCAGTGCCCCTGAAAAAGGTCACAGACCTATTCATGGTGGCTCCATCACTTTAGTCTCCACCTAGCTGTCTTCGAGTGGTTCCTTGGCGCAGCGTGTCCAGGGGTTTATCAGTGGTCCTTTGACCACTCTTGCCACAGGGGCCTGCTTTCTTCACCCATGGTTGGCCGCGTGACGCTGCTGGCTGGGAAGGCCTCATGTGGCTCCTTGGTCTACCAGCCACCATTTTCCCCTGGCTGCCGCTCTCCAGGGCCAGAAATACCCATCCTTGTGCTCCCTCTGCTAATCCGAAGGGAGCACACACTGTGGAAATGTGGCAGCACACTCCCTGCTCCGGTCAGGCTTTTCTCCACACCTGTGGTACATATCCCTTATTTGGGTTTCCCAGGGCTTTCTCCTCACCCTGCTCTTTTCCCCTCACAGTGCAGGACATGGAACTTCCTTGGAGGCATGTCTGAGACTGTGGAATGAACACCCTCAGATCTAAGGATCGTCACAAGTCTTACCTCCTTCCACATGAAGTACAAAGCACATTTATTGTACCTTGCTTTTTTAATATAAATATATATCACCATATATATTGTGGGGAGAAGAAGATCTAGCAAACTAAGACATCCCCTCTAATCCTGATAGCTTTACATTCAGTAATCAGATTGATGTTTGCACATAGCAGTCAGAAGGCATACGCGTTTTATATAGTGGTTTTTGGTGCCACTCAAGGGATAAATAAGTTGCACCATGTTTTCATTTTCAAGGTATTATATTTCAAAGTATCAATCTTTTGTAGTGTTCTGCCTTCATAAGCGATTTTTATTTGTGCCTATAGATCATTTTTATATAGAAGCAAATGATTCACACTTGTTGTTATAACAACTTTCCAGTAGTTAACTTGTGTCATTAAATTTGTTTTTCTAAAAGGTAAGAAAATCGTAGAAATAAAAGAATATTTTCATAACAAAATATTCTAGTATATTTTAATTTCTGCCAAATTCATGGTAAACCTGAGGTTTTAGTAACCGTGTCCTTTAAATTCAAGCACAGCTAAGCTCGTAAGACAAGCCTAGAATCCAGGCTTCTGATCGCTGATTAGGTGATCATCATCGCGTGAAGATTAAACTATACAATATATTCTTCTAATCTGAGGAACAGAGGAGAAATCCAACTATGCAAATCATTACTGAATAGGTTCCCTTGGTCAAGCTCCTTTCTGTGCTGAAGAATTTCTTAGCACACTTCCTCTTGTTAGGTTTTCAGTCACCCATAAAGGACTAGTTATTACCCTATGACAATGCCTTCCCAAATATTATGAACTAACAGCTGACTGTCAACTTCTAAGATTTCTCATGGTCCTTCATAACCTTTGTCAACTATTTGTTTGAAAGGGGAGAAGGTATAACTCACAGATCACTAATAATGGTCAT